AATCAAAAACAGCATTATACGATCCAAATAATAAGCCACTAACAAAGCTGTTTTTTATTATTGTAAGTCGTTTTGTTTTCTTTTGCGAACGGTATTTCTTTGATATATTTTGCGTACTTCATATAAAAATATATATTCCCGCTCAAGTTATTCGATAATCAACATGAAAAAAATGTTTAAGCAAAGAAACAATGAAAAAAGGCCTAACTGTTTGTGAATATTTTATTATATTTTCGGCTGAAAAATTTTATCAACATATGCGTTGCTTTCTATTATATCCTTGTTTATATGTTTTTGTGAAATAAAACTGCTAGAAAAAAAAAACAAAAAATGTGAAATATTCCAAAAATGTCACTTTTAGGTGAAGAGGGATTTTTCATTTAAAAGGCATATATGGGAAATTGTTGCCGAAGAAAGATTAATCAAAAAGCCTGCCTCCCAAGAAAAACCATGACATAAAACCATGAAAAATGTCTTGAAGAAGGTGGAAAAAATTCAACATTAGCTTATGTAATAAAAGAGATTCAAAGTGATATGCAAATGTTTAAAAGTCATGCATGTACATATCATTAAATCGTTAATAGTACCCGTTAGAGATGAGTTGGGGACTAATTGATCTCCAATTATACCCATAAGGGATGAGTCGAGACTAATTGACCTCCATTAGTACCCTTATGAGACTAGGCCTAATTAATGCCCAATTGTACCGGATTGAGAGTAATCTCGGTATACTCTCTTTAGAGATTAGTCGCACAATTTTTTGAAGGGTACATACTAAACTCCTGCGCAATTCCATTTCAGCGGCCTAACAAGACATCCGATCGCCGCGCAAATACTTTCCCTCCTTTACTCTTATCGTTCGGGTCAAGTGTGAGTAAGCATAAAACAGTTTCTGCAAGCGTACGTAAACTACCGATCAATAGCAAGACGCGTAAAATATTTACTTTGCCTTCCGCAACTACTGCGAGTAAAAGGTATTTGACAGTAGAGTACTCTACTGGTAGTACTTGAGTATTTTCGAAAAAAACATACTTTTGTGGTATTTGAATAAAACTAAGGACAGGAATGTAGTGGAGCGATAAATAGAGCGACGAGCAAACCGTACATTCAACTAAAATGCTGATATACATACCTTAGTACATATGTATGTATGTGCATAGATACATATATACATAAGTGTCCGCATATATTTTTTTCTTGTCACTTGATCTGTCGCTTCACTGCAGCAAAACCAAGTTGTGGGGAAAACCCTGCCGATATGCGTAAAATTGAAACCATGGGTTTGAAGTTAGCGCAAATTGATGTCAAAATTTCAATTTCATGTTAAATATATTTATGCATGCATGTACATATGTACATATGTAAAAATGTAGTTTCGATTTAAAAAAATCGGATAAAGTTTTTCTTTCGCCATATATACACCTCTGATTTTAGTATTTATTAAAAAAAACTCAATGGAATTCAAAAACTATCTCTTGCATTTGGTTTTACTCAATACCGATTTGAGCTGTCGCACAGTGTTATCAAAAAAAAAAGCTATCAATGGGTAGGTTCAGAAGGCGCAGCAGTTGAACGCAACCTTTGCTAAAAAAAACAGTGATCGTTATGCGTCTTCTGAACGACTTCATACATTAGCTATCAAATTCAACTCTCAAAGGTACACACCAACATGTTGTCTCAAATGATCAGAAAAATATTACGATCATCTAACACGCAACTATTCAGTTGATCAGAAGTACGCGTTCAGAATGTGCAATCGCACCAGTTACTGAGCTGTTGCGCCTTCTGAACGTGCCCAATGAAAATTCGTTTCTCTTGAAATCAAGTTATATATAAAGGCTCGCAAGAAAAACTAAAAATTCATATTTTTTTTAATTTGGTTCTATAAAAAATTTCTTAAATCAGTGTGCAGCTCTTAAGAAAAAAATGCTCGTACATCTCGTCGCTACCATGTCCAACTATCGAATGTGAAAATCGAAACTTTTCAAAATTTTGATTTGCCACTAATAATTTTATTTCGTATAGCAGCATTGCTTAAGCTGTTGTTTTTGACAACTTATTTGTTGGTTAATGACTGCAAATAGTTTTATAGAAAATTAGAAACGAGAAATAATACTTTCATAAAAATATAAGTAATAATAGATTTAAAAAGCTGCTTGAATACAAAAGTTGTATGAAAATGTCACATTAAACAACTGTCTAAATCAACGCTATTTTTTATAAATAAGGCCGTAAACATTTCCTTACACCGTCAATTTCCATATACTATTTTTACTCTTTCAATTTCACTGACCAGCGCCGCAAACGATATCAACTAGTAGGCTAACAACCAGAATTGAAATTTAATACGCAAGTACTTCCAGTACTACAAGTATACAGAGAGTAGATTTGCTACTCCATTTTGGAAGCAGCAAATATCTCTCGTACGCGATGAGAGAAAGTAGAGTACCTACTTTGGTGGAGTAATAGCAAGTACGTGAAATATTTACTCTCTCAACGCCAAGTAATGTATATATGCGGAAAAAGAGTAACAATGTGTTGGAAGTAGAGCAAGGCATAACAACCCTGCAGTAAATTGCGCTAGTTCAGGACTAGCGCAGAACTAGCTCTTTAAGAGGCGGTACTGGTTCTCCATCTATCCCAACGCAATGCTTTCAACTGTCTCTTTTTACATGGCGATGTCCTACGAAGTGGAATTTCCCCCCTCTGCAGAACTTTCGAACTAGTTCTGAACTGGTTCCATTTTCGATAGTCCTGGGACAGTAAGTTTTTCTATGAGAAAAAATTTTAAAACTCGATTATTAGATTATTTTTATATTCTAAACTGGTTCAATTTTAGACAGATCTGCGACAATAAGTTTTTTATTAAAAAAATTTCTGATTATTCGATTTTTTGATATTTTTTCGTTTTTTCTGTTCTTTTACAGATTGCATTTTATTAAATTTTTATTATTTTTTTTATATTATTTGATCACATTCTCTTCATTTTTTAAGCGGCACTCAATTAATTTAAATTTCTTAAATCTGAAAATCACAACTGTCTCCTCCGCGATTTCAACTCGTGACCAACGATATTAGAGTCGGAGGTCTTCCCGCTGAGCTATTTTCGTATTGTACTAGGAGTGAGAATTTGTGCATTTACTTCTCAACAGAGCGCAACTAACCCACCGAGAGTTTCAACTGTCCCTCTCTGCAGCCGTTTTGCACTAGTTCAGAGATGGTTCTGAAATGTGTAGGGCGGAACTAGCACTTTAAGAGACTGTCTCTAAATTTTACTGCAGGGAAGGTAGAAGTGATTTCGACATTTCTCTCGTTTGAACTGCGACTGATATGTCAACTCTTAACCCTATATCTACTATTCAAAATTTTTTTTTTATATAAATTTACAATTGTGACCTGTGCGACTAATTTTAAATACATAATAAAATGAAAAGGAATTGCGAGCGGTGCGTTGTGTTTGTAAGAGCCTGGACAAAAAACTTGTGCGTTATTTTAAACCTTCGAATTGTCAAGTGAAGCGACAACCGTGGGCAAATTGCTGCGATGTTTCATTAGGAGATTCTTCACGTGGGGTCGTGACTTTATTTGTTGCCTATCGCAGCCGAGTATTTCTAAGTGGACGAGTTTGGTCCAAGGTGCAGGATTTATCATGACTATGAAAAGAAATCTCCCTTTCATATACATACATGGATAGGCCAAATTTCAAATGGTGGTCTGATAAAACCTAAACCAGTATTCCTTGTTGACATAAAGAAACTGAAAGTAAATTTCGAATAGCAAAAATTTATTAGCTAAATTATTGAAGTTAAGTTCTGATGTAAATTTAGAAGAATCAAACTTCTTTAATGTCTATTATACCTTAGAATTAAGTATTTGAATAAAAAAAATAAATGCTCAAAAACATTGGGATAGTAAAAGCAAGAAAATTGTCAAAACGGTTTTATAAATGAGTGTATAACACATCATGTCCCATCACTGATTTGATTACATGTATATATTTTTCGTATTCAGTGGCATCATTTGTTTCTTGAGTAGTTTTTGTTATTCTGTCGTTTTCTCTGTTGTTTCGTAGCGCTGCACATTGGCAGGCATAACATATAAATTGTAATTTGCTTATTATTATTCTTTGTGTAAGAAATAATTTTTAATTGAATTGCTGTTGGATTTTTGGAGCGGCCAGCGAGTGGCCGGCCGTCTGAATGTATCAAGGATTCTGATACATTTTTGGTGCCTCCTGTGAGGAGCAATTTTGAAGTGCGACGGTGCATTCACGAACAAGCGATCGAGGAAGTCTCGCTTGGATTAGCAGTGCATCATCCAGCTGGAGTTACCGAAAAGGGCTCCACAGATTTAGTTTCGTGTAACGGAGTACTGAGACTTTGCCAGAAGTGCGGCAATAGCGGTGGTTTGTTGTCGCTTCTAGGTGACACAACAACAACTCGTGAGCCGTTCAGAATTAACTGTTCAATAAGCCGCTAATCAACGTTTGCTTTGTGGCGTGATTAGGCAGATATCATTTTGTGGAAAAAAACTGTACAACATATATTGCGGTATGAATTTACGTACTTCAGCGAAGTCATCGATTACGCGGATTTTTAATACGGTTCATACAGAGGACTATAGTCTAGACCAGGTCGAAATTGAGCACATTCTTGGAATGGTGCAGCAGTACTGGGATCGCTTCGTTGAACATCATTTGGATTTAGTCGCTGGGTCGTCAGATATTCCTACTCACGATACGCTGTACGCTAGCACGGAAGAGCAATTCAACTAAGTTTGCATTAAATTACGTCGCTTGCTATTGAAATGCACTCCTGTTGAGCATGACTCCGTGCGGACCCAAGCAGTGGATTTGCGGCTAGATCCTGTTTCCATACCACCCTTCGATGGCCAGGTGGAGAACTGGCTTGTGTTTAAAGACATGTTCGAGACAATGGTCCACCAACGGACAGATCTCGAGCCAACATACAAGCTTAGTAAATTGCGTCAGTATGTCAAGCCTGAAAGTGTCCCAATGGTCACTGGGTTTTATACTGGAGGATATGAAGAGGTTTGGGCGGAACTGAAGCGTCGCTATGACAACCCCTATCTGCTGTCAGAAACCCATGTGCAACGTATACTAGCTTTGCCAACTGATCCACGCGACACACAGAAGGTGCTCCGGGATATCATCGACTGTGTACGTAACAGCTTTCGTGCATTATCTGTCATGGGGTTGCCGGTAACACAATGGGATGCGCTTGCGATTCCAATATTGCTGCCAAAGCTGCCGGTAGCAGCAAGAAATGATTGGGGCATGAGCCTCAAAGACAACGATATTCCCAGATTGGAAGATTTATTGAGTTTCATCGAGCGTCGCGCGATGAATATGCCGGCTGCATCGTCTGTATCGCAGGGTGTGAGAGCACACCTAGCGTCTGCACAAGCGAATGGTGCGAATACTTCAAGTTGTCCACATTGTTCGGAGAACCATCGTCTTGCCAAATGTCATCGCTGGCGGAATCTTGCAGTAACGTCTCGTTGGGAGACCGTTCCACGTTTGTGCCTTTGCTTCAACTGCCTGCGTGACGGCCATGTCACGCGTGATTGTTCAGCGGGAGTTTTTACGGTTTGCCGCCAAAAACATCATACACTTCTTTGTGGCAGTCCGACTGTTGGTGCGGGTACTAGCATGGCCGCCACTTCCCACCAAATGGAGTCATCGAATTTTAAGCCAGAACCTACAGTATCGCAGCCTCAGGTCTTCCCACGCAGTGAACAACAGTCAAATGTAGTTCAATCCTTCTTGGTTCATGGTGATCACGTCGTGTTGTTAGCCACTGCGCAGGTTTTGCTCGTTGATCATCAGGGTAACCTACATAAATGCAGAGCTTTGTGTGATATGGGATCTCAGGTGAGCTTTTTATCAGAATCTATGTTTCATCGTTTGAATCTTCATAGAAGATGCTGTGTCATGACTATTGAAGGCGTCGGCCAAAACTCAGCGTACACTAAAGTCGTTACCACCCTTAACCTGCATTCGAAGATTGATGAAGGGCTCGACATTAGTTTCGACGCTTACATTTTGAATACGATCACTTCATCGACACCCGCGATTCCTGTAAACACAGCCGCCTATGAGTACTTAAGTGGTCTACAACTGGCTGACCCTACATTTGGTTTACCGGGGTGCATCGATTTGCTTATCGGTGCTGACATTTGGAGCACCATCCTCCAAGATGGAGTGGTATCAGAAGGCTGTGATAAACCATGTGCATTGCGTACTCGACTCGGGTGCATTGTGTTGGGCCCGACTAATGCCAAATCACACGAATCCAAGCCTCAGTCCTTAAGTACCAAATTAAAAGACCATGATCTTGATGGGCTTCTTCGAAAATTTTGGGATGCGGAAGAACCACCTGAAAGCAGCACACGTTTTCGAGGAATACCGATGGTCGATATGTCGTACAAATTTTATTCCGATTCAACGCTCCGGCACTTGCAAATTCCCATCGTGGTGCACTTCGTCAATTCTTTAGTTTAGAGCGAAAACTGGATGGAGATGCGGATCTTCGTAACAGGTATATCCAGTTTATGCGGGAGTATGAGCAGCTTGGTCATATGCAGCACATCCCGGAGAGAGAAGTTAACTACGACCAATGCTACTATATCCCACATCATGCTGTGACTGCGAAATTCCGTGTGGTGTTTAATGCTTCGGCTAAATCGAGCAATGGCATATCATTGAGCGACACGCAACTTGTTGGTAACCAATTGCAGGGCAATCTCATCCACATCCTTCACAGATTTCGACGGTTTCAAGTTGCCATTAAGGCGGACGTGGAGAAGATGATCCGTCAGGTTGAGGTGGATAAAAGGCATCGCAAAAGGCAGCCGATTCTCTGGCGGGAGTCACCAAGCGAACAGATTCGCACCTACCAATTAAATACGCTCTATTTACTCGCCGGCGTCTTGGAATTGTTAAGGCGCTCGCACGTAAAGAAAATAAGTGATAAAAAAACAACAGCGTATTAGTATTTAATGGTTAACAATAATAACAAATGTTTGCTTTATTTGTTGAGACAAAATGTTTAATAAAACAGAGTGAATTTAACTATAAATTTTGCTAATAGCTTGATGAAATTACCTTGCTGACGTGGTGTGGTGGCTGGCAGTCGCTCTGCTGGTCTTCTAGGAAGTGATGGAGTGCCAATAAACGAAAACGGGTTTGAGCCCGCCGAACAGTAACCTTCGTTGAGTTTCCCCTCAACTCAGTTACCGTACGGCGGGGCATACTGTTAACGGCTGGAATGTTAGCCGTATCTTATATATGTGTGTGTGCACTCAGATACAAAATTATTTAACGCACATTAGGGTGGTGCAGCATATTTAGGTATGGGCCTAAACATACCGCCCCCCTTGCGATAAGCAAACTATGAAAAACGGAATACGGAAGGTACCCACCATGCCACGTCAGAAAAGATAATTAGTTTGACGGTAGCCACTAGAGACTGGAAGTGCTCCAGGTTGCACTTAGTTCCCGCTTGTCACACCCAGGTTGCACCGCCTCTTCCTATTGGGATATTAAAGAGAGTTAACAGAACAAAAAATGGACGTGGTTTTGATTTTCAATGCACTTTATTGCGTGTATTAATCAACTAATAATAATTTGTTTTTATTTCGATTACCATGCTGGGCGCGCAGGGGTCAATTATTGCGCGGACCAGGTGCAGGCGGCTACCAGACTCGATTCGAACGATGGCGGTCGGTGCAATCGGCTGAAAAGAGCGACAGATCGATGCAGCCATAGTACTGTTGCTTATGCGACCTGTTCGAAACCCCAGTCGTCGCACGGCCAGAGCCGCATTCTGCTCTCGGTTCTGCTCTTGTGGTCGGCGATATGGTGCTTTCCCAATGGTCTTCCGTCGAGACAAGCGGAAAGGACCAGTTTCCGCGCCATCACGACCCTTACCGTTGGGATATGGGGGCGGTCGGAAAGAACTAGTTCCCGAGCCACCCGCATGCTGTGAGTGGTGGTCGGAAAGAACGGGTTAGATACCCAGAAAATACCAAGAATTGGGACCGGCCTCTGCGAAGCATTCGTTTTTCATGCTTTCGACAATTTCGTTGTTTCAATGTTTTTCTGAAAGCGATAAGTGTTTTTATTGAATAATAACAACGGCAAGTGTTATGGAGAATTTCAATTAAAAGACTGCTTTATATATGCATCGAAAATATATTTAGATCCCCAAAATCTGATAGCAGATAGCATCTATAGATTGTGATTGCCTCCGCGACATAGCAAAAATGTCTTCCTCGTTGTCCATGGTAGAGGCACTTTTGCAATAATTCCACCACCCAGCCACGCCTAATATACGAAAACGTGAAATTGAAACAGAACTTATTGCCTTCAAAGGACAACCAAGCGCTTGGCAAATCAGTCTACAGGTGGCTGCTTCTATTGAAACAAAGCAATATCTCTGGTTTTTCAGTACATCAACTCTAGAGCATTGGATTTCACGTCGGTGGTCACCTTTGACTGCTAGCGAGAGAACTTTACTGCGTGAAACATTATGGAATACATATGCAAGTTTATCAATGGCAAATGTGTCTCGCCGACGACGTGATCATTCGCACAATTAATTGCGCTCATAGGAAAACGTGAGTTCCCCGACGATCATCCTAACTATGTAATTCACTGTTTTGAACTAATCCGATCGGAAAAGTTCGTGCTCGGTATCACTCTGCTGCACATCACTTCAGAAGAGGTAGTCAACCATCGCGACTGCGTAACAACGGAGCGTCAAAACTATTTTCACTCACACTCTGGAAGCAATATCCCCGCGTCACTCTCTAGCAGCTTCACCCATCACCACCAATCTGTTATTGCTGTTGGGCGATACACCAATGTTAGTACGCCCTGTGCCCAGCATTGTGGCAAAACCCATGTGGCTGAAAGCGCATCAGTGGGGCTTCGGTTCTATTATTAAGTATACGAATTACACTAAATGTTTGCTTTGGTATGAATGATGACTCCTGATGTAAAACCAAATGCAATTCATGCCCAAAAACGGTCATTATATATTGGGGATGTGGATCCCATATTTGACTAGATTTACTACGAAATGTGCCCGTTTCATCGAAGGCGGAATATAAATCACTAATTTTATTGCGATTCGACTCATAGAGCATATCATCTTCGCTTAATGTGGAATTATGCACCTTTCGTGGCGTAACAAAGTCACTGATGAAATCATCGGGAATGCTATTATTGATGTCGCCAATATCATCTGTGATATCCTCTTCTTCGATGCTGATAAACTTTTGACCTGACCGGCTTTAATGGATTTGGCACGTGGTAAGTTTGTAGTAATTATTAAATTACTAGTGTCATACATTAGTTGCGTTCCCCAACTCGCACGAAGTTGCAAGAATGTAAAGGAATCTACCAGAAAGCGTTCCCGTAATCGGTTCTCTGGCTTCTTTTCCCTTTTGACAGTTTTACAGGTTTTAACCCTGAAAAGTTGGGGAACGCAACTTTTATCACTATTGCCAAATTGGTGCTTTTCGCGAAAATTTTAGAGTTTAGTGCTTGGTGCGTTTTCATTGGTACTTTGTTTTTAGTTTGAAGACACCAAATCTGTAAATCTTAACCAAAGGTTTGTTCGGCAAGCTACTCGAAGTCAATTCGTGTTACACATACGCGTTCCACCAGTACCTTTTTAAGTTTCTTTGATATACGCTGACAGTTTGAACTTTGCTCCCGTTTTTGTTCAAGTAGCTTGGGGAGCAAACCTAAAAATGGGTCAAAATTTATAGCAATCGTAAGTTTTGTAAGAAACTTCCCAGGAATCAAAACAAAATAGTGCCACAATAGGTGCGTTCGATAAGTCAAAAATTTGTAATAGTTTTTCCAAATTTTTACTGGTGAACATTGAACATTCACTTTCCTTTTTTCTTCTATGGAGGCAACATGAATTTCGGTTTGTTTACAAAGAAAACATAAACAAAGTCAACTGGTGTGTCTTCTTCTTCCGGTTTTTGCAAGTAATGGCTAATGGAGTTATTCAGGCATAAAATTAAATTATATAAAAATAATATTAGACTAGGCGAACCAAAAAAACTTCAAAATATTTAAAATACTTTAATCAAAAACGTACGAGGTAGTTAACGAAAATAATGAATTATATTTATGAAAGTAAATGTACCTAGTAAATAAAAATTTATTGAATAAAAAAATACTAATATTCCTAAGCGGTTAAAATGCAAGTAATGGCTAATTTCCTGTTCGTTTACTCTTTTGATTTTGATTGTTGGCTGGTGTTGGCTGATTTTGTTATCGAACGCAACTAATGACAATCATAAGCGAGTGAGCATATGTTTACCAACAATATAGAGAATAATTGCATGACCGGGTGGGATTTGATTTGAAGAGTAGACAGGTTAACGTCGGTTTAATGAAAATATTTGAATTTATAGAAAACAGAATAAATTGGAACGTCGAGCAAAACGCATTGACTTTTATTAATTTGAATCCCTACCATAAAATTTTTTCATGCATTCGAGGTAGAGGGCAGCATGAATTCATTCAAAACGTCATATAGAATATTCATATAAAAAACTAATGAATGAGTTTACCAAAAAAAAAAATTTTTATTTTTTTTTGAGTTTGTGTGAATACTGTTATGGGTGTCGTCATAACTATATTCAAACGATGTGAAGATAAATTGAATTGAAATAAATGACAAATTTTGTTTATGAATATCCAAAAATATTTTTTTTATTTACATTTGTACAAACGTACATATGTATGTATGTATGTAATTGCTGCGTTCCTATTAAAATACGAAAAACTTGTTTGTAGCAAAAACTATAAACAAAATGAGTTTGACGTATTCCGAATCTCGACTCCCTAGTTGCAGGGCGGGAGTAGAACCAACTTTGCGATTGGTCTGTTATTTGGCCCTTTGCCGTATCAACGTCAACTACACGTATTCGGTTGTCTGGACCAGGGTGTAGTTTGGCTATTCTTCCAAGTCTCCATTCAGTGGGTGGGAGGTTTCCTTCTTTAATGACAACTAGGTCCCTTTGTTTCAAATTGGCTTGTGGATGTCTCCACTTGACGCGTTTCTGCATCTCGGTAAGGTACTCCGATTTCCATCTTCTGCAGAAAGTTTGGTGCAATGCTTTCAATTTATCCCAACGGTTTACAATAGAGGCACGAGTCTCGTTTACGTTGATTTCTGGTGATGCCCACCAACAAGGAAGTGTCCTGGGGTAAGCGGCTCCAAGTTTGCTGGTTCGTTGGATGATGGACTAAGTGGTCGTGAGTTGAGACAAGACTCAACCCGGCATAGAAAGGTACTAAACTCTTCAAAAGTGAATTTGTGGTCCGACGCGACCTTTTTGAAGTGGCTCTTAAAACTTTTAACCCCTGCTTCCCACCGTCCACCCATGTGAGGGGCTCCTGTGGGTATAAAATGCCACGCTAGAGCTTGGTGGCAGTATTTAGAAAGGGCTTGATTGCGCGAGTCGGCCACGAAG